TTTCATGAATGAACTGCCACTTACGTCAAGACTCTCCTTCAGGCTTGCACCACCATAATACCCAAACATATACAATAGTTGCATATTCTGAAGCATCTCCTCCCTTGCTTTCTCCGACATATTGCCTATGGCAAGGATCCCCTTGAAATCCTCGTCCGGAATATGGAGAGCAGCGCCGCCCTGGCCATCCTGCGTCTTGACAGCTTGAAACTCGGCGATAATGCGGTCTGGAGTATAGTAATCGGTTGCTCCATATATCTGCTTCCCAAGCACTTTCTCCCGGTTGAGCAAGATGGCTTTGACGAATTTTCCGGTATCCCGGTAGCTGTCGAAAAGGGGAATGGGGGTATTATTTGGAACCGGGTTGCTAAAGTTATATACCCCGGATACGTTGTTTAGGGTGCCGGCTGGGATATTGGACATGTAGAAGCCAGGAAGGAAGAACGTGGCTGGTACATCGATGCTGCGAATATATTCCTCCACAGCAGCTTTGGAGTCAAAGTGAGAGACTCCTGTGAGCTTTCCGCCAGACACTTATATGGCTTGTTAGCTTGACGTTTCTTTGGTTCGAGATGAGGCAGAGACAACAATACCCTTCGTCACATTGATCAGGCTACTCCAGATCAAATGCTGGACATTATCCTCCTATACATTTTGACGTTACGTCAGTATAACGGGTATCGTGTGAATACAGGAACGACTATGAGAAACGCACTTTAGCGGCATCAGCGATATTCTTGCCCTGCCGAATCTCCGTCTCGGCGCTTCCTGTCTCCCAGAAATTGGTGACAGCATATACAGCGTATGCGCCCTTGAAAGCTTCGATGAGAGATTCTTTACTGTTGAGATCCGCCTAGACACTGTTAGCCCGATAAAGTAGTAATTGGGCATTCGTTAACTGTGAAGCAAACCTTGACACACTCAACCCCTCGTTTAGCCAGAGCCTGGGCAGATTGCTTCGATGGATCTCTTGTAATTGCACGGATAGAGAACTGCGCTGCGGCCTTCTCATCGCCGAGGATGGAGTTGATAACCGAACCACCCTGCTTTCCAGTCGCCCCAAGCACGACGAGGAGTTTCTTGTCTGCCATATTTGTCTGGTGTGATGAAATGATATCTAACGATGCTTGAAGACCCTAGTTATCGGCGTGATAACGGGCGTAGTTATATAGATTAGATGGAAGGATGTTTGGAAGAGGGGGACTCGATTTGACATTAAATGCTGTGTCGCCAGTGATGTCATTTAAGTGATCCGGCCGGAGCAGTGGTATCTATGAAGCTCTTATATAGACATTTTTCTTGCTATGTCTAGAACAACGCCGAATACAAGAAATGTCTCATTTCTAATCGAATCTCTTGTCTCCTCCCCAGCTCGCTCTTCACGAAAGGGCCGAATGTGGCGAGGACATGGTTTGGTAATGCTTAGGTGGCTGATAGCTGGTAGTTTGTAATCCGCTGGGAACATCGACCAACTTTTACCTTGCTGGATAGCCAATTTCAAGGCGTTTCGGAGCAAAGCAAGCACCGACGGCGACGATGTGTTAGGTCGCCGTGGAGGGTCAGAGAAGAACCTGCAAGTGGTTACACTGCTGGTTGTTGCGTCGTCGTTATGCAGTGTATGTAGGGTTGTCCTTTTGTACACAGAATGTTGATTGTGATATTATTGTGTACTCAGAGGCCGACGCGTCTGGATATGGTATGGTTAATGCATAGTCTCTAATTGCGGTTGAAAGCCTGCCTGATCTTAGTTGAGGATATATCTCGGACGAATAATTTGTGCGTTCTGGTACGACGGGAGGCGTGGAGTATACGGAGTTACATCGCGTTCAGGGTTTGAGATCGCAATAATATCACAAATAATTGAAACACCAATGTCCTCGACCTAGCGGGTTGTCCTGTCAGCCAGTCTGTTTCTTTCCAGCCAGCCAGTAGAACGCTCAACATGCAGTCAAAATCGGTCAAAATCGGTCAAACTTAGCCTTCGCTATGACAGTCAGTCTCATATCATCAGCGCCTTTATGCTTCATGCATATTTTATTATGCACATTTTATACAGTATATGCACTCCCAGATTACATCATCGCAAACTCACGTGATGCACCTGGGGTTTTTGCATTTTCTTCCTTTTATGTTTCCATCGTCGGACGAAGAACAAAAGGGACAAAAATAATAATAATAATCACTATACGAAGCGAACCAGAGAAAAGGGCGAGTCACAGCGAACGCAGCGAATGGCGATGCAGGAAGCGGAGGTCAGTGACCCCTCCTGGGCGACGAGGTTTCATGATGGCGGTTCTCTCTCGGGCGGCCCCTTGGACGGTGCTTGCGTGGTGCGACCCCAGAGCCAGCGCTGCTGCAACTGTCTTGCTCGAGAACATGCGGACATCCCTGCGTTCCTTGAAATTGGCGGCCAATCAGCGCTCGCGTGGGCGACGGCGACCAACCTCCTGAGCATCTCTCGGCCAGGATCCACCGTCCAGTCCACACTTGACGGGATTTGCAAGTTCGATTCGATGCGCAAAGACTGTGGCCATGCAAGCACCGCAGCTAACATGTTTCGGGTTAGCGCCGTACAACTCTTGATATTCTTAGGTCCCAGTAAGATTGATTTCTCTGGTTGACCGTCACCACGCTAACCAGGCCCTAGAGGTGCCCAGAGCACTCTGTCTTCAGGATTTGGGCAGATGGCATTATGACTTGCTACCGTCTGCGTGTTCGAAAGCTGCCGTTTTTTCTCTCGTCTCCGTGAAGTCGTGTGCCCTTGCTGACTAGGACTTTGAGGTGGAGAAGTGCCAAAGACTCGATGGAGTACTCCGTACTTTTCGCGGAATAAAGCAACCTCGCCATGTGGTTGTCGTATGATACGCAATAAAAAATGAAACAAGGGAAAGGATGCGCGTCTTTTAAGTAGACACCTACCGGGGATTTGTGATGGAAGCCTGATGTTTGGTGGAAATAATAAGCGTCAACACAAAAGCAAGCCTGACGTGAAGGCGATCGAGCTCACTCCCTATCTAACTATCACGTGACACGCACCCGGCCCACTGGATTATTTATTTTTTTTCCCATCAAAAAGGCACATGGATGGAGGCAGCAGAGGCAGGCAAGCCTAAAAAGCTCACTGGCGGCGCCTAGGGCCAAGGGACATCAAGCCACAGCGACGACTAGTGGCTCCCCCACAGCACCAGCACCAGCACCACGCAAAACACAGAACGCTGCTGGGAGAGTAACGACGGGCGGGCGACGACGACGGCCTGCTTTCTGCTGTGATTCGCTGCCCCTTGCTATCCCGTCACCCTGGGCACACCTCCTGGCCTCCCCTTCGAGCCTTCAACTGCGGCCAAATCAGCTGCTGGCGATGCGAAATAAAAAAAGAAGATCTGGAGAGGGACCTACCACGTGACCAACGCTGTTCCAATGCGCGCGAAAGAAGAAGGAACGAATAAAGGTGGTCCTTGCCTAAAACAGTGCAAAGCCCGCTAACCTAAGCTAAAACTCTTTTACTAACCTGAGCTAACTCGGCATCCTCGAGTTTTCCAGCCCTTCAACCTCCCTCCGACCCTCCCTCGACGCAACAACAAGGACATCGACAGCGACGACGACGTTGTGATCGCTGAAGATAGGATCCACCGCAGCGGCAGAGACGAGCTCAAGGCCTGGAGAATCAGTTTACCCAGGCTCCGTTTTGGGATTCGCCTCTTTTTTTTTCTTTTCTTTTCTTTTCTTTTCTTTTCGCAGCCTCAAATAACGAAAACGGGGGGGAACAAGAGAATCGAAACCAGACTTGTTACTTGCGCTGCATCGACGCGCATTTTCTCTCATCTTCATTCTGCTTAATTTATCTCTAGCCGGATAGTTTCTCTCTCTTCTTTGGCAGTTTCGCCTTTTCTTCTTCTTCTTTTTCTTCTTTAATCCTTTTTCTCGTCGCTCCTTTATCCATCTTTATCAACTTCCCGCTTCACCGCAAGAGAACTGCGTTCCGAGGAGGAGCTGGATATCGCTCTCGTTTTTCTTCCCGGTCTACCTGGATCATCGACTGTATCTCCTGTCGTTTCCCCCTTTCCCGCCTTGTCTGGACGGAAATTGGACCTCTTGCATCCCTGTAATGCAAGGTTGACTGCCTGATCTTGAAGCTCCATTCATCAACTGCGCGGTTCCTCTGTCGCCCACCGCTTGGTGCTTGTCTCGCCGCGCGATCTCCTGCCCGGGATTTCGTGATCCCAAAGAGGTTCACGCCTTAGCCACGGCTCTTCAAGGTGTTTCCGTTTATCATATCTCTCCATTCGCCTTTCCCGCAATCCTCTTGCGCGTTGGCCGTTTTTCCCTCTTGCGTCCACCAAAGCCGGGAAATCACGTGTTGAACTTTATTCTTCAAGATTACATAATATTGATGCGGTCACGTGTCTATGGCTTCTCGATTCCCGCCGCGGGACCGCTCACCACCGCCATCTAGATACGGCGACAGGGGCCCGCCGCCGTCTCATGGACCATCACATATACCATCGGGCCCCAGGGGGAATGACGATGTCAATTCTACACCACTAGGTCGAGACCCTCCTCGTGGTCCTAAGGCCCTCATAGATTCGTCCAGGGGTGGCCATTTCCTTCCATCCGGCCCAAGGGGAAGAGGATTCCCTAGCCGGAACGACTTCAGAGATCGAGATAGGGACAGGATCGACCCCCGGGACCTGAGGGATGGCCCGCCGCCCCGAAGAGGCGATGGAGACCGTGACTGGCCTCGTAGAGATCGCGGGTTTGATTCGCGAGACAGTCACGGTCGGATGGGGTTCGGTCGAGGACGATCGAGGTCCCCTCCTATGAGAGACTTTAGAGACTCAAGAGACAGCGGACCCAGAGAACTGGATATACCACGTCTACGCAGAAATTCAAGAGATGGACCAATTTCACTTAACACACCACTCTCAGATCTTCCTCCCCTGAGAGGAGGTTCGATGCGAGGCCGTGGGCGTGGTGACCGAGATCGAGGGCGAGGGAGAGGTATGCCGCTGGAAGATAGAGATCTATTCAGAGGGCGGAGTCGGTCTCGCGATGGCTGGCGAGACGTCCGCATGGACCGAGACAGGGAGCGTAACCGTGACCCACGAGATCGGGATAGGGATAGAGATCGAATGCTCGATCGAGAACTCGACAGGAGGGAACGCTTCGACCGTCGTGATCGCGATGATGATAGGTGGTCGCAGCGCGACGACAGAGACCGGTTTGAGCGGGTGGAGCCTTGGAAAAAGGATCGACCACCAGCTCGCATCGATACCAAGACTTCTGGTTCTCATTCTGCCAACCCGTCATCTGCTGTATCACAAACCCCAACCCTGATGTCTCTCGGTACGCCCGCAGTTGGCACTGAAGACGAGGTTACTGCTGCTTCTGCTGCTGCTGCTGCTGGGCCCCGAAAAGCTGGTAGTACATCTTCCACTCCCAGGGAGTCAAGGCGGCCATCGGAAAAGACAGAGCATGTCACCCCTATCCGTACACCGACACACGTCCAGTCAACGACGGCTCAACCCGAACAGCCTTCTGAACGGCCTACACCACAGTTCTCTCCTTCTCCTGCTGCCCCAGAAGTGCCTGCCTTTGGTTCCCTCTCTTCTGCTGGCTCGGCTGCTGCTATTACGGAAACCGCTACCCCTGAACCATCAAGAAAATTATCACAATCGGATACCCCCAGAGAGCGTCCTGATCTATTCCCTTCCACCCCTATCAAGCCTCCAACTGCCCCTAGAGCCGATAGAGTGGATGCACAGCAACGTTCCGACCGGAGTAAAACTGAAGTGCCCCTTCGATCCAGTCGTCCACCGTCAGCCTCTCCGGTAGTCCAACCGAGCTACATGATTGACTATAGCCACCCTGTCCCCGCACTTGACCGAGGCATCACTCATGAGCCAGCGCCTCAATCAAACAAGGCCAAGGATACTCATGCTTCCTCTAATGAACAGGAGCCCGACCTTTTTCCTTCGTTACATGGCCTGTCGGGCTCCAGTAACGCTGCTACCCCGTCATCTACTCGCGCTTCATCTCTACCGACACAAAATCAATCGCAGCCACAGAAGTCACCGCCACCTCATTCAACCTCGCTTTCTCCAAACTCCCAGCATGCATCTATACCTACTGGGCCAAGAGCGCAACAACAGCGCTCCACCGGTCAACGGCCCGGAGCCAAAAGTAGTAATCAATGGGTCAGGCCAGGGTATGTGAATAGAAGAATGTCAGCCACTAACTCACCGTCAAGTAAGAGAGACCTTTGGGATGAGGGGAACAAAAGACAGGCGCTTGAAAGCCCGTTCGTACCCGAGGGTCCTCTTAGCAGCAGCGGCCATGGGGACGAGGAAGCTCAACCATCTATTAGCCCTGTGAATGGAGAGGATAGCGAAAAGAGAGAAAAGGAGAAGGCAAGCTCTGAGCCAACAAGAGAGCACACTGAAGAAAATGAAACTCGTCCATCAGAGGAGGAAATACAGGGGCAATCTCTTGATGCCGATAATGATACAAAGATGCTTGATGCACCGGAGGCTGGGGAAATCAAAGAAACGGAAGAGACTCAGGAAGAACCAGAGCAGCATATTCCAATGCTCTTCGATGAACCGAGTGACCAGCAATCTGATGATGATGATGCCCTAGATGAAGAAGACTTCAATCAATCCGAACAACGTTTCGAGAAGGAAATGTTGGCCCTAAAATCAGAAATCCCGCTGCCTCCACTGCAGGACCCAGTTGTGGTTGATCTACTCATGAAGATTCAGATGCTTGGGATGATAGCTGATGGCGCTGCACCAGCAAATCTTGATCAGCCAGGAGCTGCCATGGAAGTTGAAAGTCCTGATAAGCCGGTTGCTATCATCCCATTATCAGGTAAAGAAGCGGAAGAGGTCGAGCTTGCGGAAGAAGTAAGACCTATTGAGAATGCTGCCGGGACGCCTGTGACGATACCTATCATCGAAGCCAAGGCTGTAGAATCATTGCCATTCCTACCTTCTGGTCCACCGACCCCCTTCTCGGATATGGAAACATTACAGGAAAATTATAAACTCCATGAGCGTATTAAGGATTCGCTGTTGGAAGATATCATCAAACAACGAAGTGAAGTTGCTAAACAGCATGCCGTCTTGCGTGAGCAGTACGCGCGGTACTATAAAGCCTGGAGACTGAAAGTACGTGACATGGATAAAAAGAAAGAGGAGGCGAGGAAAGCTGAGTCGGAATTATCATCCACCCCTCCACCCTCCGCGACCGCTGCAGCATCTCTCCCTGTGATCGAAGGCAGGCGGGGATATAAACTGAACAGTGAGCTTGACTTCCAACTTGCTCTGAAGGCATCCGCAATCACAGCACAAGAAGAATCAGAGCGTCGCCGAGATCAAGAGGCCACCGTTCACCCTGACATGACTCGTGAAGCCCGTATCCCGGACATGCTGGACGAATACCAGAAGAAAGCAAGTCTCTACCAAGACACTAACCAAATGGTCGATCCTGCGGATGCCTTCACTGTTTTTGCCTTCCATCCTCCGCCCAACGACTTTACGCCTGAAGAACACAAAGCTTTCACTGAAGCCTTCATGGCTCATCCGAAGAAATGGGGCAAAATTGCTGAACTACTTCCAGGCCGTACTTTCCAGCAGTGTGTGATGCATTATTACTCTACCAAAGAAGAGATCAAGTACAAGGCCAAGCTTAATAAGAAGTGGACGCGCAAGGGACGTGCAAGAAAAACTGCAAGAGCCCCAAGATCAAATGCTCTCATGGCGGATTTGGGAATCCGACCTGCTTATGATGCAGATGATGCAGAGACACCTGTTGTTACCGATACAGGAAGGCCCAGACGTGCAGCTGCACCTACATTTGGCGAGTCAAATGCTGACACTGAAAGTAACACCCCCACACCGGCGTCTGGGAAGCGCGGAGGCGCAAAGGACTCTGGCGATCAGCCTGCTGAGAGAGCCCCCGGAAGACGAGCTGGTCGTGGTGGCGGTGGCGGCCGTGGTGGTCGAAGAGGGAGGGGAGGTGGTCAGCAGGCAGCTTCGAGGGTGGAACCTGCACCACCTACGACTGCAGCTGCTGCAGCGTGCGCTAGTACCTTGCCTGCAGTCGCTCCCCTGCCAAAACCTGAGGCGGATGCCGTGGAATCATTAGTTGATGCGATGTTGAAAGCTAAGGAGGAGATCGAGAAGCCGGTGGAAGAGGCCGCGGTGCGTTCCAAACCGAGTAGAAGCTCTCGCAATAAGGAGCAGCAGCAGCAGCAGCAGCAGCAACCGGCACAGCAGCAACAGATGCAGTCAGTAGCTCAGCCGGGCCTAGAGGCCCCTGAGCCAGGTTCAAAGGGAGGCCCGAGCGATGGCGGGTATGGCTCACTGCAGCCTACCAGCTATTGGTCTGTACCTGAAGTCAAGGATTTCCCAGACCTGGTGGCCCATTTTGGCAAGGATTTCGACGCTATTTCTCAATTCATGAAAACAAAGACACCAACGATGGTATGCATTTAATAATTGAATTCCCTAACAGAGCTGGATGGATGTTAACAACTTTTTATAGGTGAAAAACTACTTTCAGCGCCGTGTTGACGGTGGGAAGACAGAACTAGAAGAAGTTGCATTGATAGCCGAAGCCAAGAAACTGCGAGGCGAGCCCACTGGACCCCTACCGACCCCGAGTGTTAGTTCAAAGCGACGATATGAGGCTACCCCATCATCAATTGCGCCACGAGCTTTGGCGCCCAATATGGAACATGCTGAGATGATGGACAGAACGCTAGCGCCTAAGGCCAAGCCATCTGTTATCAATATGGCACCTGCGCCGCCTGTGATACAACCACGTCAAGGTATGGAGAAAGACCGGTCACAACCAAAACTATACCCCCTTGTTCAGGCTCCTGCAAGTCAGCCCAACCTCGCTGCCACCAGTGATGAGCTCCACCAACGCTCTGTCAGCACCTCACAGTTGCCTCAGTCCCATCGAAATCAACAAGGGCCAAGAATGGGTTATTTCACTGATGAGCGTAGGGAGAGCCGTCCTCCCGTTCACATAGCTGCTCACATGTCAGAGCAGGACGTGAAGCCAATACCGTCTTCATTGACGAGCCAAGTAACTCCGGGGATGCCATTACAGACTCTTCCGCGACAGAACCCAAACGTTGTGCCCCAAATTCAAGACCTTGGAGACATTCCACGCTACGGCCCGCTGTCGCAGCCGCCTACATTCCCTCAAGGGCCTTACCTGCAGCCGCCGGGTGGTGCACGCAACACCTCAACGACGCCGCAGTCACACTCTCGTCGCTCAAGTCGTACAATTCCTTCTGCCGTCACTTCTCCTGTTCAAAGGCATATCAAACTCGACACCGATCCAAGTGGAATACCAGCCATGGAAAGGCCGGCGCCAATAGGCCCTCCAGCGTACTTAACTCCTGGTCATCCTGTATCTGTAGGCCGACAAGGCCCTACTCTTACCCCACCTACTGACCATGGTCGACCGAGAATAGCTGCCGCACCAGTGCCACCAGCAGCGCCAGAGCCTCAACGTCAGGTGCCTGCGAAACGTTCCAATATCATGAACATTCTCAACGACGAACCGGAAGAGCCTCAGCCAAGGAAAAAGTTTGCAAGCGAACAGTCAGCACCCTCAGTTGCTATTGGGCCGCCCTCTCCATCACGGCCTGTTTACCAGGGACGTCATTCCTCGTCAGGCCAGCCGGGTCATTCCGAGGATCAGCATCATTATCAAAGGCAGCCACAGTATTATTCTGGTCCATCTCAGCCTCAACATCACCAGCAACAGCAGCAATCTCAAGTACAATCTGGATCCAGTGGACAATATGCGGAACCTCCATCCACCTCGACGAGAGGTTCTACTACTCAGGATTGGATGGCGAGATTTGATCCTCGCGAGCAACAACAATCACATTCGAGTTCTTCTACTCCATCGATTTCCAGGCTACCTAGCTACAGTCATGGATTCTCTGGTTCCGGGCCTCATACGCCTCATTCTGTATCAGGCCTTCAACATATGTCCGACCAGCCTCAAGCTGCCACCCAGCCACGCCAGTCGTTTTCACATCAGCCTTTGCAGCAGCCGCCAGTGCAGGGGTTGCAGGACCGGAGCCAGCAACCACAGCCACACCTGGGTCCCGCAGGGCGAGAGTCCCCGGGTCCTCGCCATATCCAAGCCCACCCGCACACGCGGTCGCCCGTTCAACGACACAACGCCCCATACTCTAGTAAAGTCTCACAGCAACGTTCTACGTCGCCCTTACCGTCTGGTCCCGGTAACATGAACCCGCATGTGAGCCAGATGTCTGGTTACAATCCTCCTGGAGTCAGCCACCATAAAGCTTCTCAAAGTCAACATCAGCCAGGTCCTCCGCATTTACTGTCTCAATCCCACCAGCATGGGATGCATGGAAGTAATGGGTCACAGTATGGTCCACATGTTCAGCAATTGGCGTCATCCACCTCACGCCACGCACCTCCGCCATCCGTCATGCAACAAGAACAGCAGGCGCACCAACATCAGCATCTTCAGCACCAGCACCAGCATCAACGCTCGCATCAGCCTCAGCCACACCCACATCACCAACACCATCAGCATCAGCCCTCCCTCTCGTTAAGTCAACGTAGCAATTCTCCTTTTGGCCACAGCCCACATATGACTCCTCAACAAGTCTCTCATACCCAAGGGATACCTCGTGCTGGGGGCCCCATGTCATCTTCCAACGCGCCTAGTCACCCTGGCATGAGTATAGGAAGATCATATACCCCTCCATCAAACCTGGGCCAGCATCACCCCCAAAACGGCTCCAACAGCGGGCTATCCTACTCAAACACACCGTCTCATCCTCTTCACCAATCCAGCCAGGGAAATAACCTTCATCAACAACATATACGACCGCGTCATGGATCTGGTGGGCCCCCGCCCTCCGGACCGGGTCACCATAATATCTACCCGCAAGAACCCAGACAATGACCATATTGGATAATGGCTTTAATCCTATCGACTTTTTTCGACTTTTCTTTTTCTTGGCCGCCTTTGGCCTCGTGTATTATCATGATATGTGTGGATGCCCTGATGTCTCAGCTTGAAAATGGATACTGCATAAATAACCACGTCTCCTTGTCTTGCCGTCAGGGTCTATTCAATTCAGTCTTCCAAGTCCTATAGTTTTCTTTTAACCTCTTCCCCGTTTACTACTTGACTTATCCTGCATTTCACGACTTCTGATTCTTTTTTGTTTTGTTATTATTAGCCATTCTTATTCATACGGACGTTGGCTGGTTTTCTGTCTCGGGATTTTTTTATTATTTTTTTTCCCCTTGCCTTTCACTTGTATGCATATAGTTTTTTTCTTTGTTCTTTTTATCCTCTACATGGCGGGACGAGATAAGATGGGTTGATTGACTAAATGCGGTACTGAAGCATGGACATGGGTTTGATTCATACGTTCACATATCATTAATAGTCGATAAATATCTGTATATCTGTGCCTCTATCAAAGTTTGAAAATTATATAGATAGTCGTTAATAGGATTGACCGCATTGTCTGGTACGATCTCTCGTCGTATATAAAATCCAGAGACATGATACGGCAGACCCAGCGAGAGCTTTGCTCTACATGTCCACGAAATAAGCGGGAACGTGGTATCCAAGCAATTAGGCTCGATTAGCAGCTACACTATCAAGTGCCCGATATACTTGGCACAGAAATACGTAGACGCGACCTTTTCGTGAAAACCTAGTTAAGCGACAAGCGAAACAGCCGCGAGTCTTTTCTAACTCTATTAGAGTAACAAAAGCGTTTATTAGTCAGCTGGATTCCGTTATTTTTGGGGCCTTTCTATGGGACAGGGGCGTGTCAGCAAAGTAGAAAATGGAGCAAAATCGATGAAATTCCCCGTCATATTCCTAAAGGACCTGCTGGGAACCTATCAGCGGCTTCTCTGGTAGGTCGTCGACAAAGAAGGATTTTGTCTCCCTTTTTCAATAGTCGTTCTGCCTTCTGACCCTCATACTGGGGGGAACTGGCGGTGACCATAGGGATCACAGCAGCGATTAACAGTTTAGACAGGCCTGTTAGGTCATAAACGGGTCAAATCTGGTGGG